CAGAGAGACTGGACATGGAAAAGACATTCCAAAATCTGGTCGTCCGAGTATTAAGGAAAACACTAAAACATTCTAGCCTAGTCGCAGCTAAAAGTCAGCTAATGCTTTCTTATGAAGATAGAAAAGTACCATGGATGCATCCATACAAAATTAGACTAGTGGAGGAACTTAAAGAAGATTATCCGGACCGTAGACTACAATTGTGTGAAACTATACTACTAAGCTACCTTCTGTTTGAATGGTACAGTCAACCGTCAAAATGGTAGGTACTGGAGCGGGGAAAATCCTCATTGGGTAGTAGTGGCAAATTCCCAATACCAGCAAAAAGTGAAAGTCTGGGCAGGAATGGTGGAAAATCGGATCATAGGTCCTTTCTTCTTCGAGAATATGACAGGACAAACGTTTGCAAAACTCTATTCTTCCCACATTAGCAGAAATGTTTCGCAATGAGAATGAAGCATCTACCAAGTGATACCATTTGGTATCTTCGTATCTTGATAATTTCTTATGGATCAAAATCGACGTGTTCCAGGAAGGAAAGGCACATTTTTTAATGAATTTGTTCCATACTTTTTCCGGTCACTGTATAAGTGGTATCGAGTTGAGAAGTGCTTGTGCCTGATAAAACCAACCGCATTTGTTTGATTTAATAAGCGTGTTCTTGTGCACAATATCCAATAAACAATTTCCCCGTTATTCATCCCTTTATAAAATGATTACATAAATTAGTTCTCAACGTAACGAAATCCCTTCGCATTGAATGTGTACCGTGCACAAAAGCCTTAAATTACACGGCCGGGAGTAAATAGAATAGAAAAGGCGCGTCGGCAATATGATTCCACTGAATAGAGTGCAATATTTTAAGCTCATTAGATGGTTTTCGCGTTCGCTGTATCCTTTCATTAATTATTTCCCATTTGAAAAGGAAAACGGCAACGGCAACGTGTCTCAGCCAGACCAACAAAACAATAATGCCGCAGCTACGGTCGCCATTGCTGCTGCTGCTGCTGCTGTTGCATGCTGCATTCTAAATGCTACTCATACTCGCAACGCTTGCATTCGCCTTTTATGCTTTAAATCCATTTATTAGACTAGACCACTCAAGACCAATGACCGTTTATATGCATGACTATGAATATATGAATCTTAGTGTGCAATGGGGTCTTTCATTTAAAACGACTATTTTGTGCTTTTCACCAAAACTCCAAAATATTGTTCAAAACATCGAAAAAAATTCCCTTATCTTATCTTATCTTTATCATTTCTAATTTTTCCCATTTAAAAATCATGTATTTTCAATTACATATTGTAACGTTTTTAACTGTTCGTAATGTGAATAAAAACACGCACTGGTTTATTAACAAACTAAACGATTTATTTTTATAAATTAATTACACTTAAAACACTAAGAAACTATAAAACTAACTAAACACTTAACTACTAATAATTTATATATCACTACTGTACTAGAGTCTATTTATTTGCACGTATATTTATTTATTTCGACGCGAGTACCAAAGCTTGACAGAATCTTCGTAATGCGTCGTTCCTTATATATTCAGTGCCTACGTTCCCGAATATTCCAGCGAGCTCCACACAGCTCTAGATCGCTCGAGCGCTGAATCACCGGCGATGACTCATCGGCGATGAGTCATCATTCCGAGATCCAGAGCCGTACTCGCTACAATATTTTTGAAGATATTAAAGCAAAAAGTTGTAGAAAATGTAATTCTTAAATAAAAAGTCCCTACCTTTATATCGCTAAAGTGAACAGTTTACAAGTTATGAGCAGTTTAATATTTAAAAACTTGAAAAATTTGTGTTTTCTTGAGATTAATTTTTCTTAAATTGAATTCCATTAGAATTAAATTTTCTACAACTTTTTTCTTTAACATTCTCCTAATATTTTTAAAAATATGTGAAAAAATAAAAAAAATGACTTTTAGAGCTGATGCATGTTTTAAACAATATTTTGGAGTTTCGGTGAAAATAAAAAAATGTTCATTTTAAATTAAACACCCTAGTTTGCAAATGGGTGAATCTCACGAAATGTCCCCCGATGGTGTTACCCCGTGATATTTAATAAAACTAAATAAGTTTGACCTACACTTTTATTGTGTTTTGATCTTTCATAATTAAGTAGATATTACAGCTCAGGTTCCAGATTTTTAACCGCAATTAATTAGTGTTTACAATGTTTTAAAAGTCTAAAACCTATCCTCCGTGACTTTTACTCTTTCTAGGTTAACCTATATGATTTCAAATATCTGAGGTAGTAAAAGCATACTTAAAATATCAGTTCACTAAGTAAATTAAACACATCCAAACATGGGCGCCGCTACATAGGGGCAGGGGGGGGCCCGGGCCCCCCCCTGGAATTTCATACCCAGAAATTCCGGTACTCCATAATTTGACGGTAAGTGCTGATCGTTATCATTTCTTCATTATATTTTAATTTATCATAATTTGTATAGCGTATACATAAGATGGCTGTACTACTAGAGGAGATTCCTCGGCGATACAATTTATTTTTATATTTATATATTTACCAAAAAACTGTGATGTATTTTTTGCAATATGTACCAATATAAATAAATAGGTAAATATACATATAAAGATGATATTTTATTTGACTTAAGTTTAATGTGAACTTCTACAGTACAACTTGATTATAAATAACATCTATCAAAATTGTAAAAAACTTTAAGGGCCCCCCCCTAGACGAATTCCTTCCGGCGCCCATGCATCCAAAGCAATCGAATCAAATATAAAATATTATTAAAAATTGAAAGAAATAATTTTTATAACCATTTATGTAGGTGTTACAAAAATTGATTCTATCCTCCGTGAATCTGTTTTTGCTTTAAATTTTATGCAACGAATGGCGCTTTAATCATTTTAAATAAGCAAAAACCTCTGTTTACGACATTATAGATGCATGTGATTTCTGAAGGTCAGTTAGAATTTATATGCAGATGAGCGTGTTGCTGTTTTATAATTCAAAAGTTTAAGTTTATTAATTTGCCATTTAAAAACCTATCCACCGTGAAGTGTAATATCTCAGTAAGTAGATTTTTTTTATAAATATTTTATGTATGTACAATTGTATTTTTAAAAGATATTAAGGTGTCAAAAGATACAATAACTTATTTCAAATATACCTACAAAGGGATGTTAAAAAAACATACGAAATCCTAACCTCCGTGAAGCTATCTTTCGTGAAACTCTAATATTCAAAATGTATGATTAATGCAGAAGCACTTATGTTATGTTATTACTAGACCTGGTGGCTTCCCAAAAACCCCATTCTAGACTAACAGAAAAACAACCAAAAATAAAAAATAATCATTTTCACTTGGGGGACATCTCAATATATTCACCCAAATAAGAACCTGCACTAAATAAAAAATTCATTGAAATGAAAAAAAACAATGATTTACAAACCTGAAGATTTTATAGGAATTTTTTCGGAAGGTTGTATGTCGACACAGTGCATATATTTCATTGATTTGTCCTTTCGTTTAGTTACCATTTTCTTGTATTGTTCTTCAGAATATCCATGTTGTTTTGCTTCATCCAAAATAATCTAATAATAAAATTATTTTGATTAAATTGGTAAAGTTAAATTTTTTAGTATTTAGATATAGTGTCGAGACATTTAAAATAAAAACTTAGATAAAACATTTTTTACCAAAATTGTTTAAAAGGTTAAATTTTTTAGACTCAAAACCATTGATAATCAAAAAATATTCTGCGTTAAGCCAAACTTTATTAAAAAGTACAAGTCAGCCATTGAATGAATTAACCTGTTTTACAATTAATTCAGAAAATATTAAGAAAAAATATTGTTCCTAACATATGCGCAAAATAATTTTTCCCTACTAACTATTTACAAATTTAAATCAATAATTTTGAAGAATAAAAAATTTGTACTAAAATTTTAAAAAATCAATATTTTTAAGCTTAAAGTTTTACAGTTGTATTTTATATTTAATAGTACATTATGTATATTATGTATTAACTTTGATAAACGCCATTTTATACACGAATTTAATTTAGGCACGAGCGAGTTTGCGAGCGAGTGCTTAAATTAATGAGTGTATAGAAAAGGTTATAAACGAGGTACATACTATACTTTTTCTACGACAAATACTTATTATTATCTTAAAATCTTTTAAATCAAAAATTTGTATAAAACGCCATCAATAAAACAATAGGGGAATCTGCGTGTCACCGTCAAATGTCAAATTTTTATATTTTATAAACATATTATAAAGGTTATAAATCGAAATGTATTTCTTCAAAATGGACAGTTTTTCACAGTGAAAGTAAAAAAATGTTTTATGAGCACTTTACAGTGGAGTCCGTGCCCGAATTTAAGTTATAGTTTACTGCCGGCGAAATTAAAAGGTAAGTTCATATAAACTTTTCAAATATTGGCGTTGAAAAACTATTTAATACTTTTGTATTTTTGAATTGAGATAATAAAATAATTTTCACATTTAGTATTATTTTACAAGAAAGGCACCTTATCTTATGTATGACATTTGAAAACTGTCAATTAACTTCAGCCCGTGACTAAAAACCTCTAACTGTAAGTGCTAAACTTTAATCTTTAAACAATTATCTAATAAATGCTTAAACGGCGTGCCATAAGTTAACCTTGCTGGTCTGTTTTGGATGGGGCACCATGTATTATATATTATTAAATTTAAGCGAATATTTTTGTGTTTTAAAATTTTAAAAAAATAACTAATTTGCAAAAATGGTGAATGCTCCGGGATACATGCAAATAATAACATTTTCTGTAATATTTTTAACGATTTCTTTAAACATTCTAAACTTTTATTTATTCTTATCTTGTTATTTCAAGTTTTAAAGAATAATTTAAAAAAAAATACAAAGTATTGAGTATTTGCTTGTATTGCGGGCGTGCCTGTTCGCGGGTATTTTTTACACAAATGCAGTTTAAAGGATCTGTCAGACAATAAGGTACTTAGTTATGTCCCCAATTTCCTTTCCTTTGGTTGTCTTGACTTTGAGACGCGCTTCTCATGCCGCCGCCGCCGCCTTTCCTTGCCCGCCCCCGTCCTCGCCGCCGCCGCCGTCTCCGCTTTCTCTTTACGTTCACGTTCCGATTGAGACGAAGTCCTGATGCGCTCGTTAAAATTTAAATGCGATTATTAAGAGACAAATGCACTTTTTTCGCGTCAAATCTATTGTGGGCGAAGTAATTTAAGTCTAAGTAATAATTCGAAATTCCTTTTTTTATTAAAACGATCTTGTGGGTTTTATTATTGATTATTTTAGGTGACAGATTTACGGTAAAATATATTTCACCCTATATCTAAGCGGTTAAACTTTGAATGTACTATGCCCCACCACGTGACCACGTACGGAACGCAGTCTTTTAAAAATTGTATCTGTCAAAGTATAGTCAATGAAAGAAATAATATTTATAGTGTTACCGCTTATGTTTAAGCGTTAAAAGTTAATAAATCTTTATAGTATCACAATAACAATGGTTGGTTTAAGAATTTAGGAATATAAATACTGCATTTAATGAAATTCCAAAGTGTATACACCTTATAAGGTGCAATATAAGTGATATTTTTGTGCATTGGGTCTACATTTCTCCATAAAATAGTTTTAACTAAACAGCATTCTCTATTATGAAATAAGAATATCTGTATCAAAGGTATGTTAATGTATCAGAACAAAAATATCATCTAATTTTGCATTTTAAGGTTAGAAAAATCTATTTTGACCAAAATAAATAAGTGGATTATTTGGAAGAGTGTGTCAATATGGTCACAAATAAATATAGGTATACTAAATAATTGTTGAATATGGTTCAAATTAAATTGAAGCTTTTATACTTCTATCGACAAAACTTGTGCATACCTCTCGGCATACTTACTTTAAGTTAGATTATAAGAAAACAAACTATTTTTAGAGAAACTTGCAATGTGAAAATATTTAATATTCCCATGAAATGTGATTTATTAAAATTTTTAAAGTTATAATGATTTTTTGATGTAGATCAAATTCAGTCAATGCTTTATAACTATTTATATTGACAAAACTTTATGTAGGTACACTTTAAGCTGGATTAGAAAAACTACCACATTTTTAAATAATCCAAAATACTTATTTATTTTGGTCAAAATAAATTTTTCTAACCTAAAAATTACAAAATTAGATGATATTTTTGTTATATTATATTAACCTACCTTAAATACAAATATACTTATTCCATAATAGAGAAGCTAGATTTTTTTTATAAATACTGTTTAGTTAAAATTATTTTATGGAGAAAACCAGATATTTGGACCAAATGCACAAAAATATTACTTATTTGGCACCATACACTTTAGAATTTCATTAAATGCAGTATTTATATTTTTAAATTCTTAAACCATCCATTGTTATTCTAATGTTATACAGATTTATACATTTTTAACGCCTAAACATAATATTATTTCTTTCGTTGACTATACATTGACAGATACATAACCTGAAAAGCCTTAAATGCCAAATTTTCAAAAGACTGCGTTCCGTACGTGGTCACGTGGTGGGACTTTGAGGTGTGGAGCATAGTACCTACCTACATTATTATAAAAAAATGTAAATTTAAATAGTTCATTCTTTGTATATATTTGAAAATAAATAATCTTAATCAAATAACTTTCTACGCAAAAAAAACGCTAGCATAGCATGAATGGGTAAGCCATTAAACCAATGGGATCTTGTAATCCGTATTCCTGAATAACAGTTCCTATAATACCAATAGGTAGTTAGCAATTGGTTTATAATGGTTTACTGTTTTTAAATTAACAACAAAAGTTATCGCTCCTAAATGTATTGATATTTATATTGATATTTATTTGTTAGAATGTTATTGCATTAAATACTAATTTGATTTATTTCATAACGTTACTATTGTATGTATACTATGTATACATTTAACGCAATCCATTCTTTGACATTTAGACAAAATATTTCCCTATTTTGGTTTAATAGTAATTAATTGAGCAAATAACAATTTAGATTGCTTTAATTTGTTCTTGGTACTATGTTAGATTTTTTATACATACTGCTGATTTTGTATACATACTGCATATTATACTATCTTGAATTGTAAATTACTGCATATTATACTATCTTGAATTGTAAAAAATATCTTCTTACCTTATCAAAATCCAAGAGGAATCCCCATTTATCATGATATTCTTTAATGGCCTTTTCTTCCAAGACGTTTTGGGCAGCCCTTAAACAATATTCAAATAAATAAATACAAGTTAAAGTTTAGTTAACTCACAAGATTTGATATTTTACTATTAAATTCGGAGGCATGTTTACTGCTGCTAAGTTTCTCGAGTAATGCGGGAATTGTTCGGATAGTCTTGTTTGGTCAATAATTCAAAGCATGTCTAATGTTCTTAGAGAAGAATTTCGGTATCAAAGGTTTCCATGCAAAATAACAGTGGCGGCTGGTGGATTTTAAGTATACCAATATCTCAGTTATTAGACATGGGACCCACACCAAATTTATAATAGTTTATATTGACATTAAATAAACAAGTTCGGCGCAAACAGAATTTAAATTGAAGTTTGCGAAAAAAAGTTAGTTTTTCCTGTCGCCTACCCTGCCTCCAGGCCCCCCTATTTGAGATAATTCAAATTAAAGTGGTGCAATTTATTATCTACTATAATTTATCGACAAATTTAAAATTTTATTCAAAAAATTCAAATATTACAGATTTTATTCGATTTTAAATTTTTATTATTTATTTTATTAAAATAAAAAAATATTTAAAATGGTATAAAAACTGTAATATTTGGATTTTTTTAATAAAATTTTAAATTTGTCGATAAATTATAGTAGATAATAAATTGCACCACTTTAATTTGAATTATCTCAAATAGGGGGGCCTGGAGGCAGGGTAGGCGACAGGAAAAACTAACTTTTTTTCGCAAACTTCAATTTAAATTCTGTTTGCGCCGAACTTGTTTATTTAATGTCAATATAAACTATTATAAATTTGGTGTGGGTCCCATGTCTAATAACTGAGATATTGGTATACTTAAAATCCACCAGCCGCCACTGCAAAATAATAAGCCTTATAAAAAATTATACAGTATGGTTTTCACTTATGGAATAAAATTTTAATGAATGAGGAAAAAATATTTTCTTATGTTTCTTATTATAATGCAGTTTTAAACACCCTGTTTTTTTAGATGTCCCCATAGAAAAAAGTCTAGAGGTGTTAGATCTGGTGATGTTGCTTGCCATTCTACTAAACCACCAAATTTTTTAATCTTATAATCGATTATACGTGTTATAAAAATCAGATTTGTTAATATGAGTTTGTAGTTTATTTTGTAAAATTTTAACGTATTTTTTGTAGAAAATCAGGGTTTGTAATTATTTTAACAAAGGAAAATATTTTACCGAAAGTTTTGTAAAGGTAATATGCAATTTTATAAGCATTTTGTTAATTTCAAAGGTTACAGATTATTTTGTTAATTTTTAGCAAATTATTTTGTTGAACAAGTACACGTGATTTGAGGCAGTCAATCAAAACATTTTCCACTGACAATCAAAACATTTTCCACTGCGTCTGCAACTTATGTTTCTGTTTACTCTATTCTAATTCGTAACGTATTCGTAACAACTGTCCAGAGAAGGTATACTTTTGTTACTGAGTCTACAAAAGAGGCGGCTCGTGACCTTTGGTGAAGGTTTCAAGCAAAGACAAAACAATATCGTGAGAGAGATTCATTTTTACCTATCTTACAGTGATTATTTTAAGATTAATAAAGGCACAACCGCACTACAACAAAGACTAAACAAAAAAGAAACCTTGGAAATACTGTATTAATAAAATAAAAAAAAAAACAAATCGGCTTACTTACTTGATGTAAGGGCTTTTGCCTTACATTACCTTCTTTCTGCTTTCAGCAACAGGCAACACAACAATAAGTTTTTTAACTCGCAAAACGAAAACCCGCTTCGAAAATTAAAATCACAATATACGGTGCTGCGATCCTTGGTGTTGAGGGGCGGTCGGGGTAGACAATAAAACGTTGTCATGTTTCAGATAGGCACCCATGAAATCGGACAAGGGATTATAATAATCCATTGTTCCATGACATATAATTAAAAATTTAACACCCAGTAACAAACAATAAATAAAGATTACTTTACTACAATAATTTTAGTATAGTAATCTTTATTTGTTTTTTGTTGTTGGGTGTTAATTATATAATAATGTCGTAGAACAATGGAATCCTTTCTGACAATTTTTTTTATATTTTTAAAAAATAAACATTTAAATAATAAATGTCCTTGTTCAAAACCAAAGCGAGCATTTCACAACATGCAAGTTACTTTTAAAAATAATAATGTGGGCCTCAATGTTTACAAAAATTCGCGTATTAACCCTGTCCTTTATTTTAAACTTTGATGGTTATTCGATGTTTTGAACTTTTAATGACTGGAAATTAGTTTAATAACGTAAAAACCTATATCCAAACAATTGCTCTAAATAAATATTTCTGTACAATTAATCACAACAATAAGTTGTTTTTAAGAAACTTATGATTTACAACCAAATAATGGTATTTTCTTATTGTAAACAACAAGTTACTACGAATAAGAAAATTTTACCTCATACAAGAAAACCTGTTTCAAATAAATGCATTTTCTTAAATCAAGAGATTACTTTTTTCTGTGTACAATTTTTTGTTGTTGTTTTGGCCTGTCATTTTTATCTAGTAATTTTAAGATTGTATATTGGCACTCCGATATCACCAAGTGCGTAGAAGGCACATTTTCGAAGTATTTGTATTTTCTTCAGTTACTTTTGTGATTACTCTTTTATAAAATAGAAGAAGAAGAAGTGTTGAAGTATCAGTGGCAATATGCATCGAGTTAATTAGTAGATTAAAGTGCGCACTTAAGTTTCTGTAAAGTTGGGCGGCTGAAGTAGCAGAGAGCAAGCGGCAGCAGTAAGTAGAGAGTTGTGATTTATTTCCGAGCAAGAGTCGAGATAGTTAAACAGTTGCAGAGGGAGCAAGTGGAGTTTAAAACGCGATTAGCGAATTTTTATCGACTGTACCAACTGCCGGAGCAAAAAAAGCGCGCACAGACGAACTGATTGCTGAAGTTCGGCTCTTCGGCGAGAAGAATAAAGAGAAGAAGTTCTTGTTTTATCCCGGGGAGGTTATTTATTTCCAGAAAATTTGTGTAGTCTGTTAACTTTCAGAGGAGCGGATTTGTTGCCCGAAGACATTCGACTTTTAGTTCGGAAACTATGGTTAAGACTCCTACGCCGGTTTTGTGTTATTTTTGCGCCTGCAAATTTGATTTCGCAGATGAAATATTAACTTTTAGTTGACAGACGAAGTTCCGCGGAGAATTTAATGAGGAAACTTGCATAATTTTAATTGAACATAATCAAAAGTTTCGCATTTTTCCCGACAAGATACTCGGCCCGCTCTTACGTAAACAAACTTCCAGTTTTATTGCCCCTAATGCAATTTTAAATTTCGTCTCGACTACGATGGTAATTACCATCTTACTTAAAAGCCTTTTGCCTACGATAATAACTTTTATCAGCCTTATTTTTTTACATCAAAACCTTTGTTTTTGGGATAAAATTTCTTTAAAACCTGACGTAATCACAATCCACACAAAAAGGTCTGCTCATGCTAAAAATTACGAATTTAACATAACCTACAAATTAACCTTAATATTGACATTTGGAACGAGATAAAACAGACCACAAGGTATTTTCTTTAGTAGAACAAATTATTTTTTTGTATCCTTAATGGAAAACAGCCATTTGATTAGCTAGAATTCAATAAAGAAATGTTTTATTTTACTAATAGAAACACTTTAATAGTTACCTAGCAACATTTGAATCGTTACCAATACATACAAATCATTTAACGACTTTTAGATATATTTTGGAATGAAATTCCATTTGTACTTTTGGAAAATTTGTTTAATGAAACATCCATGATAGTTGAACTTGAAGCTGCCTGTTGATTGGAGCCTCTAAAAATTTTCTTCGATGTTTGAATTTTATTTTGAATACTTTCTCCTATATACCCCTCAGTAGAAGATGTTGAAGACCATCCCCCCAATATTTTCAAATCAGGGATACTGCCCCCATTATCGACCAACTTGGTAGCTGCACTCCTTCGCATACAATGCCCTGTGTAGCTATTGGAATCGGGAAGCTTCAAATATTCAGCATTTTTTCTCGACAAACTATAAAATTTGTTGATCCCCACCGGTTGCACAGTGCATTTACCATTCCGGTAACAAACGAAAAATCTGGAATGATTCGTGTTTTGTGGCCTTAATTTACGATGCTTCCGATACAACTCAATTCCGTTCGCTTCCGAAGTTATCGCTTCTTTTTCGTTTTTGTATTACGAAGTGTTACGATAATAACTAATTCATTCTCTTCTATATCGTTAATTGTTAGTGTTCGTATTTCTTCCCCTCGCATTGCTCCATTTAAAGCAAAAATTAGTGCTACTTTCATAAATAAATACGATTCATTCGAAGCGTCATTTGGAAACTTCATAATTTGTTCAATTGACTCTTTAGGTTCATATCCTTCATTCTGTTTTTTCAAAAATGCAAATGTCACTGTCTTCATTTTGCATCGAATATGGACCACACTGACGATGCCTTCAGATTTTTGGACTAAAATACAAGAAAAAATTAAAAAATTTATTTTTTAAAAGCATTAGCTTCTTTCTACCTTTCCCAAAAAAAACGCTAGCATAACATTTTCACTGATACCTTTATTGTTTCTCCATTGACAGAATTGCTCAAAAGTTTTATCATATTTTTCGTTTGACTTAAATGGAAGCCTATTTTTATTCTTAAACTATCTAATGTATGTGCAAATTACAGGTAAATCTTCTTATTAATTTACAGAAATATTAATTACAATGAACATTCTTTAATCGTCGATCAATTTGCTCCCCCAAAGGCCATTTAATACTGCAGAGATGTACAGCAACTCCCATCATGCTATCAACGTATCATTGTCAATTTAATACCCTGTAATTGAAGTCTGATTGCCATTAAAGGGTTTAATATTTGATCAAGATTAACTGCCTACGTAATGAGCGCAAAGGGGGAGGTAGCCCGATATTTAATTCACCGTTTCAAATCAAAAGAATGTTTCTTAAAGATGACAGCTTTTACATCTGAAGATCTAGTTCCAACAGTTAAGAGTTCAGAGGCTGTTTCAGCGAGCAAAAATACATAGGAATATTATGGTGTTATTAATACTCGACGCAGACCACTTGTTTTTTGTGTTACATTGTAATTA